CGGCGCGGCGCCGGCGGGCGGTGGCGCGGAGGCCGGACCGGGCGGCGGCCCAGGCGGCGCGGGGGGCACAGCGGCCAAGGCGGGCGGCGCGGGCGACATGACGGACAACATCCCGCTGCAGCCGGTGCGCCAGAAGAAGCGGATGGACAGCAGGCCCCGCGGCGGGTGAGCGGGACCCGGGGCTGGCCGCCTTCCTTTGTCCGCGCGCGGCCGGAGCCTGGCGCTCGGGCAGGGCGGGCCGGGCCTGACAGGTTGGCCGGCGCCATGAGCCTGTGGCCGGGCCTGGGAGGCCGGCGGGCGGGCGGGCTGGGAGGGAATTCGGCTCAGCTCCAGCCCCCGCCGCGATCGTGTCCCTTTTGGGCCCAAGCGCCCGGCTGCCTCGCACCGATGCCCACCTTCCTTTCGAAACCCCGAGAAGCCGGGCCTGCCCAGCGCTGTTTACACGCGCGTGGAATTGGGATCAGCCTTGCCTCTTAACCATTTTGTTTCCTCATTACTCCTTGTCGTTGTAATTCCGATTCGGTCAGTATCAAACCTTGCTCTGCGCGTGGAGTCCTCGGAAGCCCGGATATGGTCAGTTTATTTGTCGGGGGAGGCATGGCTTCCTCCGCAGACCCGCCGGGGGGGTCCTCATCAGTGCCTCCAGGTCTCAGCCCCCAGATGGCCGCCTTCCCCTCCCGGCCCCGGCTGGACCCGAACTAGTAGCCGCAGGAGGGCGAGAAGGGTTCCTACTGGTCGACAGGAGACCCCCCCCCCCACCTCCACGGTTCCCCACAGTTTGAGAGAAGGAGCCCCCTGGCAGGCGTAGGGGTTGCCACCTGCTGTGCCTTCCCGTATTGGCAGGCCCCTGGGCATACTGGTGAGGGTTTCCCTCACTTGGAGAGAGAGGACGGGGGGATGTTCTGCGCCCTGCCGTCTTCCTATTCGGAGGATGGCAATGACCTGTTGAGGTTTTAAGGGTCTGTGGTATCGCCTGCGAGAGTTAGCTGGCGGGGGGGGGAGGTTGAGGGGAGCTGGCTAAAATGCAGATTCCCTGGCCCCGCCCAGACCTGCCGATCAGTTCTTGGGGGTGGGACCTGGAAATGTGCATTTTCCGAGCCCGCCCTGGTGAGGCTGTTGTCGGGTGAAGGCTGAGAACCGCAGCTGGGCGGGGCCGGGCCTCCCGGACCCGCCCTTCCCTTTGGCGTCCTGTTCTCTCTGGGCTTTTTCCCTGTGGCGGCCGCTCTTTGCGGCGTCAGTTACTTGATGGAGGGGGTGAGGAGGGTGAACAAGTAGGCTGGCTTCACCAGGTGTCCGTCGAATTAAGAAAAATGAAGAATGATGCCAGCTGCCATTTTGTGAGGTCTTTGTCCCTGTCTTCTTAAAGTCTTCCTTAAATCTCCCGGTGAGGAGTCCCCTTTGATAGAATACAGAGGAGGAAGCGAGCCCAGCGAGGTCGAGGACTGCTGGGAAGATGCTGCAAAATGCAGATTGCGCTCGGGCTCTCTGACCCCAGAGACCGACAGACCTCCACCCCTTCCTTCACAGTTCGCGCACCTTGTAATCCTGACCGCTCACGGCTAAAGAACGATAACAATTAACTTGAGCCCTATACCTGGCATAGTGCCTGATGTAATATATACACCCTCAGTAAATGTTTTTTTTCTCAGTGTTTTAATGGATTAATATGATCAGTGGACTCGAAGATCCTCTAGTTATTAATTTGTGCCAAAAACAATTATAAAATGCCTACTGTGTGTGTGTGTGGGGGGGGGCTGTGTCAGGTGTCTGGGGTGCATATACGAATTAAACAAGCCCTGACCACAGGTGCGCGCCTCCTGACCCTGCATTGGAATCACCTGGGCAGTTTAAACAATTACCATCCCTGCCCCATTTTAGACCTTTGAAATAAGAGTCTGGGGTGGGACATGGCTATAAGCTGCCCTGATGATTTTAATGCCCTGGCATAGTTGAGAACCTCTGATTCAGTGCATGAGAGAAAAATGCAAATAATTATTTAAAAGTGTTGATTACCATGATAGAAATATGCACCGTTGATACAGGGGCCCAGAGGGAGTGGTGCTGACAGTTGGAAAAAACAAAAAAGATTTCTGTTTGTTATTGGCATGGAAGATCACTCCTTTAGAATTTGCCACTTTGGAACTAATTGATTTCCTAAACAGTGACATGGATTCAAATTCAACTCATGTATCTGGAATTCCAGGTATTTGCGTATATGTTCTAGTATTTAATCTGCATTTTTAGGAGTAGCCTTGTCAAGTTGCGGATCTTGGTGTTGGGAAACACTTTTGGAAGCACAGAGAGATGGAAAGGCTTCCTGTAGTTTAAGGCGGGGGGCGGGGGGAGGTAAAGGAATAAGAAATATATTTGTGATGCGTCAGACTCTTTGCTGGGCACTTGAGATAAATGGCTGTGTTTAAATCCTCATGACAACTGAATTTTTGGAGTTAGTTTCTTCATTTTATAGACAGGGAAACTAGGAATCAGTGATGCTAAATAATTTGTTGGAGATCATAGGGATACTCAGTGTGAGGAGGTGGATCAACTCTTTTTACCTAATGCCTCAAAGCTGTAGGGTGGTTGGGGGATTTTGTGGTTAAAAAACCAAAGACATAGGTGCCACAGGTCCCAGGAGACAGAGTATAATTAATGCTGGGGTCACTCAGCATATGTCGCCAAGACATGCAGTTTATTTGCTGGAGGAATCCCGTAGACCCAGAGCTCTTTTCTCTCGAGAAAGTTACCACATCCTGATGTTGAGAAAACTTACAGTGGTTTTGTTTGGACACAAGGCATTTGCCTCACATTGCTGGAAACCATTTTTCTGACATCATGTGCTTTCCTTCTGGCTAAATGAAGTTCTCCTGGTGAAACACAAGAGATTGGTTAGGAGCGTGGGCGTAGGATTGGAGAGCTGGGTGCAAGCTTGGGTTTTGCCACTCACTAGCTGTGTGACTTGGGGAAATTACTTTACCTTTCTGGGTCTCATTTTTTCATCTGTAAAGTGGGAGTAACAGTAATTATGTATACCTCCTAGGATTGTTTTGAGACTTAATCCATGTTAAGTTTGGAACACTAAGTGCTTAGTACATCCTGGGTCTTTACTAGGACAGATAGTGATAATTAGGTCTTTGTGTAAGGTTTGCTTTGGGGGATCTCCGGAACGCTCCTTTGAGAGGAAGGACCTTTGATGGTAGCAAGTAAAGAAATATTACTGACTTCATTGCTCCTTCCTGATCAAATCCAGGAAATGATTAACTACATAAACTATTCCATCCAGGTATGTAGACGCCCTGGTGTGATAGATATTGTCGAAAGCAGGTCTGGCAGAACTGCGACTTTGCCTTCTCTTAGTAATAATTCGGGGTTTTGTGGCCAAATTGGACAAGGATGCTTTGATTTTTGATGTATTTGGACTTGGGGCATTAGGAAGTTTTGGATGAACTGGGTTAAGAAAGAGCTGACTATTTAGGTACAGAGTCTATTTCAGCTTTTTTTTTTTTATAAATAACTTTATTCAAGTATAATTTACATCACATAAAATACATCCACTGTTAATGTACAACTCACTGATTTTTTTAAAGTAGATTTATAGAGTTTGTGCAGCCATCCCCACAATCCAGTTTTTGAACATTTCCATCAGTCCCAAAAGTTCCCTCGTGCCTGTTCGCAGTTCATCCCAGGCTGTCACTGATCTGCTTTCTGTTTTCAGAGGTTTGCCCTTTCTGGAAATTTCATATAAATGGAATCATAAAATATGTTGTCTTTGTATCTGCCTTTTTTCACAGCATATTTTTTTTAATTTTATTTTTTTATACAATTTTTAAAGGTTACTTTCCATTTACAGTTATTACAAAATATTGGTTATAGTCCCTATGCTGTACAGTAGTACATCCTTGAGCTCATCTCACACCCGGTAGTTTGTACCTTTTGCTCCCCAGCCCCTATTTAGCACCCCCCCACCCCCCCCTGGTAACAACTAGTTTTGTTCTCCTTGTCTGTGAGTCTGCTTCTTTTTCGTTAGCACAATGGCTTTAAAGTTCCTTTTTATTGCTTAATAGAATTACATTGTGTAGATATACCATATTTTGTTTATCTGTTCACCAAGATGGACATTTGGATTATTTCCAGTATTTGACTATTGTAAATAACACTGCTAAGAACATTCAAGTCTTTGTATAGACATATGCTTTTATTTCTCTTGTCTACTGTGAGGTTTTTTTTTGGCTGCGTTGGGTCTTTGTTGCTGAGCACGGGCTTTCTCTAGTTGCGACGAGCGGGGGCTACTCTTCGTTGTGGTGCACGGGCTTCTCATTGCCGTGGCTTCTCTTGTCGCGGAGCACAGGCTCTAGAGCACAGGCTTAGTAGTTGTGGCACGTGGACTTAGTAGTTGTGGCTCGCGGGCTCTAGAGCGCAGGTTCAGTAGTTGTGGTGCACGGGCTTAGTTGCTCCGCGGCACGTGGGATCTTCCCGGACCAGGGTTGGAACCCGTGTCCCCTGCATTGGCAGGCGGATTCTTAACCACTGTGCCACCAGGGAAGTCTGGCAGGTGGATTCTTAACTACCGTGCCACCAGGGAAGTCCCAGACCACTGTCTTTTCCCTCCTGTGCCTCAGTTTCCTCTTCCGTAAAGTGGCGACATAGTAAGAGCCCATGTGGTCGGGCATAATATATGCAGAGTAGATATGAGCCCTCAGAGAACCTCAGAAATTGTTCTTTGCACAGCCTGGAAGAGGGACCAAGCCTCATGCGGACTCTTGCACTGGGTAACACTATCTCCTCTTCTTTCTAGAACTTTGTAGAGAGTCTGGTTGAGTAAGAACTCTGGCCAGAAAATGGCCACAGAGGACTTGACTCTGCCAGAAGCTCTCTCAGACCTCAAATGACTAAATCTGTAGTGGCAGGGCTGCTGCAGGCCACGTGCTCCTTTGCAGAGGTGCTCATGCCATGCCAGGACGAGGGTGCATCAGCGATGTGAATTCACTGTTGATGTGGATGAACAGTGCCCGCGTAGGGAGTTCTTTATACAGATGTGTTTATTCAGTGGGAAGTTCTGAACTTTTTATTGAAGCTGTCACTTCTGATTTGTGATGTTAAAATGCCTGTCTCTGTTGACATCATGGAGAGTAGTATTGGGTATACAGTACAGTTGATTCTCATAACTT